TGCAAATATATAAAGGCACTAATTGAGGATCAGTTTAGGTGCCACCAACTGACACAACAGAATCGTGAGTAGATAGATTGGCCTGCTAAAATGCTTCGTTGTATTTTATGTCCAGTCAACATGTTGCCCGGCGAATGTGTGTCTTTTGACAACTCATAAAGCGCAGATCAATTCCTCACTTCACACCACATATCAATAAGTTATGTGACCCTAATTTTCATAATAAATTGACCCGCTAATTCTACGGGTGTTAAGTTGGGTGAGATAGCAGCCTAGTCATTGCGGTATGGCAATTGCGACAGCTCCTCAAATGTGTGATTTACTCTAGCAACAACACCAGGCACAATAGCAACAACGGAACAACACTTTATTACAGCCCTCACCTGTGCGTCCAACTGCTTTATTGACACCCCTCATCTCGACGTCGCGACCATCCGGAGAGAGCCTAATTTGTCTACCGCCCTTACTTGAGCTGTCAGACGATAACACTTGAGGATATAGGCAGGGATCTTGAGCCCATCCAGTCTCAGTCCTCTGCAACTCGACCGCCACGACCTAAACTACTGGTCCCCCGGTACCCTCACCTCCGTTATTTTCAGCCAGTTTTTCAGGAGGCAGGCAGCCTTCTTTGGAGATCTTACTCACCTCTCACTCATCACCACCTATGCGTGGTTGTAGGCTGTTCTTCTTAAACTCAGTGCACAATTTAGTCCCCGCTCCACTCCACTTCAACCCGTTCCGCTACGGGCCGACCATGCATGATTTGGGCAGCTGCAAATCATGCGCAATTTGGTTGCAAACGTTCGGCTTTTGTTCGCCAGTCATGAATAACGAATGTGGCCTCATAGTGTGTTTAGCATGCCTCTTCCCTCTTCCTACCTTGACTTGCCCTCCTTTTTTCCTGTTCTCTGCTCCACTCTCCCCCCTTTCCTCTCTCACTCCTACAATGTTCCCTATAACGCAGCTCTCAAGTGACCTCTCATGGTGCCGTCAGTCATACAAGTCAAAAAGTGCCTTCATAATGGACGAATGCAAAGCCATGCCCACTAGACCAACTACGAGGTTGCTTTGAGCAGAGGCGAAGCATGCGATCTTACTACCACACACTCCTTCACAATTCACACTCACTTGGCGCTTTCGCCAACACACCACTAGTCACAATCGAAAATATCTACATTAGGCTCGAGCGATGGTCAAGTGTACTTCGGTGTGACAATCCGTTAGTCGGATAAATCATCTTATCTACAAAGGGAATAGGCTCGGGTGCGCTGGTGTCACGGTGTGCTGAGTAAAAAGAGCCGCATTTCCACTGAGGAAAGGCAACTAAACCCCTCACCAGATAGGACAGGAGGTCGTCCTCTCCTCCGCTGCCCAAAATACAGTCACATCTACGCCACTCGCTGGAGACGGGTGGCAACAACATTGGAGTGGACATAATCCGTTCCACTCAAATGTCTAGTGATTTGAGTGCACGCGTGGACCAGGGATGAATTGATTGATTCCAGAATGGAATATCTATTCGCTTCCATCTGTTAAACGAAATATCTCAATTCCCAGGGTGATTGATCAGTCAGTTTCTTCAGTGGTTGTTTTCGAAAACGGACTCCTTTATGGAACAAACCACGATGCCGTCCAGTACCGTACAATACATGCAATAATCCGAACCACACAGAAGAATGGCAAAGCAAGGATATGGTTGGGTAATGAAACGGATTTGTAACGTTGGTCGATTGCTTTGAGGGTAAGAAGATGCTTTCTAACTGGGCAGCGACTCTCACCGCTACCAAAAGGGACGTTGACCTGAAACAAGACCTCAATTGTCTTTTGTCCTCTCATTTTGCAGACGAATATTGAAGCATTCATTCGTTGGAGAGGAAATCACCTTACCACTTTGCACATGGCCTAATTTTTCGCTGAAGTCTTGTACATGGCATTCCCTGTTCCCTCGATTAATAAATGATTAGAAATCAATAACTGACAGACATTTAACCTCCACTCCTGATGTTTGATGGTTTTTATAGGTGCTGTTCAGCGCCCCTGTTTCGGATTTCCTGTATTTTACTCAACTTACTCAATAATTTATGCTACTTCCCATCATGAGTTCTATCGCAGAACAAATGACAATACAATGCAACGCAGATAACAGTTCGGAATGGATGATTTCAAGAGATATGAGTATATCACAAATAACTGGTGTGCTATTTGCCAGTTTAGGCTAATTGATGACCATATTAAACCCTGCCGTAAATAAATCGACTGCGTTTCAAACACGATGATTACATCCTTCTCACTGTTTAGCAGCACAACTCGAGCGAGAACACAGTGATTTTGGACTGTGGATGGTAGTCGATTTTGCTCTTGAACCCTCCTAGCGAACGTGGTAAAGCGACTGTTCTCTCGCCATCGCAACCGATCCCCCAAACTTATTAATGCTTAGTGAATAGCTAACAATCTTCTCATCGGTCGATCAGTCAGTCATTCAATCTGTTAGTCCGTTAGCGAGTGAGCAAGTCAGCCTATGTTGTCTAGGCAACAACAAATCCATTAATCACTACGCCGAAGCGAGGCAAGGCGAGGCAGGCTAATACAATGCCTTAAGGCAACTTGTGATTCGCTCAACCAACTCTGGCAACCCAATGGTGACAAGATGATGGCCTCCACAATTGTGATTTCAACTGTCATTGCTTAATCACACCCGCCTCCTAATTGTATTGACTTGGCCCTAAGTGACCTGAGATCCCATCATCCATTCAACTCAACTCCGTACAAAGCCTACTCCCTGATCCAACTATTAGGGATATCAAACGAGATGCCACACTTCAATCCCCTTGCTTGCTTGTCGCTCGCATCAGTTATGACAAATAGGTCAGTTTTTTCAAGACCGTTAAAGCAACCGCAAGAATTCGCATATGTTTGGGATGGGCAATGCCAGCCAATCTTCTTTGTTCGGACCCGAGTTGGCTTAACCATTATAATGACAGCAAAGGCGTGATTAAGAGAGTTTCCATTCGCTCTCTTCACGCCTGAAATGCTGAGCAAATTGCAGTGGGCCAGACAGCGGTATCTCATTATACCGTACTGACCTACCGCCCCACTGTTGATTGGTTGACCCATCATTGGTGAGGATATTCTTTCGAGAGAGGGGATTGCAAAACCGATGACTGCAGTTGGGCATGATTTTCAGAAACACCATAGACGGAGAAGGAGACAGATGGGTAGAGAGAGAGGAAGAGAAAATTTTTCATTCTGCTTCAGTAATCATTTGCTATTGAGCATTTGATTAAAGCTGCGCATTTTTAAATGAGTGCATCATCTACATATTAAAGATATTTTAGATTCCCCAATTGACTCTTTCATAATATTCCTATGCTTACTTTCAGTTTGAAAATATAGTAAAAACTGCAGCATTCCTGAAAAGATAATTGTACTAGGGTATTTGATTCGTGAAATTAATTAAAGGCTAACGAAGACCGCCTGGCTTCTTTTCCAACAAATCACCTGACCACTCTTCACTGTGCATCAGTAAGTGGATCAAATTTAGCACTTTTGCTGTTCCCTTATGACACTCAATAACTAAAATATAGAGTTTTAACACTTCCACACCGGAAAACAAATCATTCTTATTCAATAGCATTTGAAACGCATCGCAAATGACAAGTTGGATATTGAATATCAGTAGAGGTCTTATTTTGTCGATCACATGCAAGACTTGTCCATCAAAATCATTGTATCGAATCAGTGCATCAATTGTGAATTTCCCTTAATCGAATAAGACGTCTTCAAAAACGTTCATTTACAAAGCAATGAATCGTCC